AACTTCTGGACTACTGTGAAAATTGTTCATTGAGGCTCTCATCTTTACCTGGCAAAAAGATAGTCCACCCTTTATTGGTACCAGGAGATTATAGCAGGACTCAGGGAAGACAGTCATCTCTAATTTGTGATGGGCCAAGCCTCTTATAACATAGTTAGCCTCTACAGCAGACCATTAATGGAACACTGGGGTAATATGCGTCTGCTGATACAGCCTTATAACAGAGTAGACTGCTACATTTCTCACCGGTTGAAGCTTCCAACAATGTGAAGAGCAGCCCAAGCAGTCATCACAGTATTTTAGGTGGTTTGATGGACATGCATGGTTGTTATCTTCTTTCCATCTGATTAAGAACTTTATTCATCTCCATTGGGATTGTCCGGATATTGGAGTCAATTCTTTCTGCTCATTCAGATCTAGAATGGCCTTTGGGGGTGCTTCATTGACTCTTTGGGTGGGGCGGGGGGTCCATAGGAGCAGTGCTGCTAATTCTCTAAATATTGTAGTGACACTGTTTTTGTCCTGCAGATTACAGGGTGTGCTAGCCCTGGAAAAACGGTAACAATTGTGGTCCGTGGCTCCAACAAACTAGTAATTGAAGAAGCTGAACGTTCAATTCACGATGCTTTGTGTGTCATACGCTGTTTGGTAAAGAAAAGGTAACGTATAAGACTTATAGACCAGTAAAGTCACCATTCAGCTTTACAAATGCCTTTTGTTAACATTTTCAAACTGCAAAATTCTAATTTCAGAGCCCTGATTGCAGGTGGTGGAGCACCAGAAATAGAGTTGGCCTTACGCTTGGATGAATATTCTCGCACCTTGAGTGGCATGGAGTCTTATTGTGTACGTGCTTATGGAGAGGCCTTGGAAATAATTCCATCCACCCTGGCTGAAAATGCAGGCCTTAATCCTATTTCTACTGTGACTGAGTTGAGAAACAGACATGCACAAGGCGAGAGAACTGCAGGAATTAATGTCAGAAAGGTAAGGGGCAAAGTGGTGAGACAAAACAAATACATATTATTGTATATTACACCATAGAATTTTGTTTTTTATATTGGAGTTTATTATGTAGTTTATTGTATGCTGCTCACCGCATTATGCATAACTCAAAGGAACAGTCAAAATATCATGTATTTGTTTTCTTTATTTCTGGTGTTCCGCCTGTGAGTGTAATTTTACATGTAGCCAAAATGGTACCATCTGTGCAGAACAGAGATATCAAAAGGTTTTGTGGATCGCTCAGGTACAGGATATATTTAAAGGCAAAAAAAATATGGGGGGTGTCTCCCTAGAAACAGCCTGATTAAGATTAAACTTGATTAGTGGCCACAAAATGCTGACAGGTGGTTGGGGTGGTTTGGCTGGTTGAATAGAAAACGAGGTTTGAAGTAGCTGGACTCATGAACAGCAGTTGCCTGCACTGCAACATTTTGTTGCAGTGGCTGGGGCAACCCAGTCAGGTGCGCAGAATACTACTACTAAGTGTAATTTCAATAATAATTGGCAGCCTCTGCAAAGGAATACAATAGAGGAATCTCTTGGGTTGCATTCTAGTTACATGGTATTGATTCATCAAAAATCAGAGACGAAATGTTGACCCCAATTAACATATTCAGTTTCATAAAAACAGCATTGACATAAAATTCACTTGCATTCTCAAGCCTATTTTGCTGTTCAGCTGTGACAGTTGCTAAATGTATTTTTATTTTGTTTATTTCTGAGTATAATATTTTTAAAAATTCTAAGTGGTGTACAAGCAATACAAATTAACATAAAATGGCAAAATGGTATCATAAAAACAAATCTAGTGATACAGGGTCCAGTTGGAACTTAAACATAGACTCAGATGGATTCATTCAACACGGATCTTGGTCCAGTTGGTTCCAAAATATAAAACTTTATCTTAAATGCAAGAGCTACTCATTGGAACTTCACTTTACTTATGTTTGAAAAATGTCAAGTGTGGTTTTTGAAGCTTGATAGTGGAATGTACCTAGAGATAATTGATTGTTGTGGCTTACTGATCCAAGGAACCAAGAATTAAATATTTGGCTCTGTAGATCCATCAAAAGTGACCTTTTATTGCCCAGCGTTAAGCAACAGAAAAAGTGGCTTGCTTTTATTTTCATGTTGTGAAATTTAATATTTGATGGAAACCTATGTAACAACTGATAAGTCGTCGTCTTATTATTATTATGACATTTTACTGGTGTTACAAAAATAATTATATATAACACTTGATTGCACAGCTTATTGCGGTTTTATTAAAAATGATAAAGATTAACATACTCAGCACTATAAAATATTTGATTATTTTAAGGTTACTTCAACTAGAATTAGTATAATTAAATATATTCCTTGGCTGCATGCCATCAGTGCCTCATATACTTACAGCACAAGAATATTTGTTCTTTCCTACAAGCTGAGATCATGTACAGCATGCTCAAAAACACTTTTAAACTTGGATGTGAATATGGTTACGTGAGTTGATTGGCCACCTGATGAGACAGAGGTGCATTTCTCCAGAATGAAAATGTTGAGATACATAATTTCATGTAATTTATGCTGGTAATTTGTTTATAAACTGAGGTTTCCATTCTTAATTTGTAGGGTGGAATTTCCAATATCCTGGAAGAATTGGTGGTCCAGCCTCTGTTGGTTTCCATCAGTGCTCTGACCCTGGCGACAGAAAACAGTCCGCAGTATTCTTAAGATTGATGATGTGGTAAGTTACACTTAAAGGCTAACATTCTTGCAAATGGGTAGTTCATAGCAGTTAGCAAATGTTAAATGACAATTCCTATTATATCACAATGTGAATCTGCAAGTTAATATGCTGCATTTGT